TTTTTCTTTTTAAAAAATTTATCTTTATTGTTGAAAGTATTACAGGTGTCCCCCCTTTTTCTCCCACTGACCCCCTCCTCTCCAATCCCATCCCCTTCTTGCCTTCTCCACACTATTGTCTGTGTCCATTGGTTATGCATTTATGCATATAAGTTCTTTGGCTTATCTCTTTCCACCCACCCTTTCCCCTTCCCTCTGAGGTTCCTCAGTCTACCAATTTGTATTCCCTAATCCCTTCACCCTTTTCACCTATACCCCCAACTCCCTTCCCATTTGGTAACCAACAAAAAGTTCTCTGTATCTATGAGTCTGTTTCTGTTCTGCTTGTTCATTTTGTTTGTAGATTCAATTGTTGACAGATATGTATTTATTGCCATTTTATTGTTCATATTTTTGACCTTCTTCAAGAAGACCCTTCAACATTTCATATAATACTGGTTTGGTGGTGATAAACTCCTTTCGCTTTTTCTTGTCTGGGAAATTCTATATGTCCATCAATTCTAACTGATAGCTTTGCTGGGTAGAGTAATCTTGGTTGTAGGTTCTTGCTTTTCACCACTTTGAATATTTCTTGCCACTCCTTTCTGGCCTGCAAAGTTTCTTTTGAGAAATTAGCTGCCAGTCTTATGAGAGCTCCCTTGTAGGTAACTAACTGCTTTTCTCTTGCTGCTTTTAAGATTCTCTCTTTGTCTTGAACCTTTTGCATTTTGATGATGATGATGTGTCTTGGTGTGGGCCTCTTAGGGTTCATCTTGTTTGGGACTCTCTGTGCTTCCTGGTCTTGTATGTCTGTTTCCTTCACCAAGCTAGGGAAGTTTTCTGTCATTATTTTTTCAAATGTGTTTTCATTTTTTTGCTCTCTCTCTTCTCTTTCTGGCACCCCCATGATGTGAATGTTGGTATGTTTGAAGTTGTCCCAAAGGCTCCTTACATTATCCTCATTTTTTTGGATTCTTTTTTCTTTTTGCTGTTCTGATTGGGTCTGTTTTGCTTCCTAATATTCCAAATTGATTGTTTGATTCTCACCTTCACCTACTCTACTACTGTTTTCCTGTAAATTATTCTTTTTTTTTTTTGTTTTTTTATCCTCACCCGAGGACATTTTTCCATTTTTGTTCAGATAGAGTGGGAGGGAGAGGAAGAGAGAGAGAGAGAGAGAGACATCAAATGGCTGCCTTCCGCACAACCCCAACTGGGGCCGGGGACAAACTGCAACTGAGGTGCCCTCAGCGGGAACTGAACCTGGGTCTCTCTGGACTGCAGGCCGACGCTCTAACTGCTGAGCCAAACCAGCAAGGGCGTAAATTATTCTTTATCTCAGTTAGTGCATACTTCATTTCTGACTGGTACTTTACTATGCCCCTGAGGTCCTCACTATTTCCTTGAGAGAATCCTTATAACCAGTGTTTTGAACTCTGCATCTGTTAAATTGCTTATCTTGGTTTTGTTTAGTTCTTTTCCTTGAGTTTTATTCTCTTCTTTCACTCGGGACGTGTTTCTTTATCTCCTCATTTTGGCTGCTTCCCTGTGTTTATTTCTATGTATTAGGTAGAGCTGCCATGTCTCCTAGGCTTCCTAAGGTGGCCTATTATAGTATGAGTCTTGTAGGGTTCAGTGGCATAGCCTCCATGATCATCCCAGCTGAGTCCTTGAGGTGCACCCGTTATGTGGACTGTACACTCTTCTGTTGTAATTGAGTCTTGGTTGCTGTTGGTACATCAATGGGAGAGATTTACTCAGGCTGATCAGCTGCAGGACTGGCTGTGCCCACTATCCACTGACCTCTGACTCCCTGGATGATCAGCTGTGCAGTGGCCCACCACACAGAGCAAGACTTACTTCAGCAGGGCTCTGGTACCCACTGAGTCCATTCCTTGAGTGTGTCACTTGTGGAGGTAGTTGGGTGGCGGTGCTTTGATGTGGTCTAAAGCTGTCCACTGGGTGTGCTGGCTCTGGGGTCTTCCTAGAGGTAAGGTGAAGGTCAGCCACTACCTGTGTTCTACCCGGGGACACCAGGCATAAGCTACAAAGTGATGTGCAGATGGCTGCTTCTTGTACTGGGCTTGGAAATGCCCAGGCAAAGCCGAGCTGTGAACCAAAGGTGGCTACTTCTAGTGTGAAGCCTGGGGCCATGTAGCGAGAGTTATGGGGCTTGCTGAGGCCAGATGCTGCTTGTTTGAGAGAATTTAGGAAAATCTGAAGCATAAGCCAAGACAGGCCAAGACTATGACAGAGCCAGTGGAAACAGCTTGGATGAGCCGAAAAGTTGGGTGGTGCATGACCTCAGAGAATCACTAAGGCGGGGCAAAGAGTGTGAGCCAGGTAGTGGAGTCCCAGATATGCACCCGTCTGCTGGCCCCGTGGGGAAGGGTTCACCAAAAGAACAATGGCCTCCACTGGCACATCTGTTCAGGAAAAGCTGCCTGTCCAGTTCTCGGCCTGATGTCAAACAACTCAGTTCGTCCCCCATTTGTCTCTGGTGCCTTTCAAGCTGCCTCCCCATGCTGGAGCCTGGAGGAGAAGGCCAAGTAAATCAGGGCAAGGGCCCTTTAAGAGGAGGTACCTGGGATTCCAGCAGCCTCAGACTCCTTCAGTTTTAGTTCCTGCTGGCTTTTGCAGACAGAAATTATGAGGACTTCTTTTCTTGGCACTGGAACCCTGACCTGGGGGGGCATGGTGTGGGACAGGGACCCCTTGCTCCCCAGGGAGGCCCTTCCCAGCCGAGGTGTCCCTCCTGATTTTATCTGCCGCACGTGAGTGTGGGACCAGCCCGTCTGCACCTCCGCCCGTCCTACCAGTCTCGATGTGGCTTCTGTAATATCATAGTTGTAGGAGTTCTATTCAGCTCAGTTTCAGGTAGTTCTGAATGGCAGTTGTTCTGTAATTTAGTTGTAATTTTGATGCAGTTATGGGAGGAGGCATGTTCCACATTTACCGACGCCACCTCTTGACTGGAAGTGTCATTAGCACATTTTTTAAAAAGCTGCTTAGGTGATTCGAGAACAAGTGTTGAGAACCGTGACGACAGATCAAGAGCTGCACCATGACATAAATCCACCTCGCCAGGCCATTAGGGTTTCAGAAGGATTTCTCAGAAGAAAACGTTAAACTAGAATGAAGACAGATGTACCTGGATATAAATCTTGCACAAAACACAGCACTATTATTATATCAAGGTGGGTCTTCTCAATACCAACTGTACCAAAAGATTTTCCCTAGGCAGGCAGTGACCACACCACCAAAAAGTCAAGTAATGCCACAGTGTTGAGAACCTCACGGCACCTAACACCAGTAAGTCCTCAAGTACACATCTGCTGAAGAACAGGACCCTCTAATCTCCTATACCAATAAACTTTCTTGTGCTTACCACCTAAATTCTTTTCAAGTTCTACTGAAAGCCCATAAGTGATATCTCCTTCCCTGATCTATTCAACTGTAAAACTGCAAAGAGCACGTTAGAGAAGAGGAGGATTGGGGCAGTAGGGGTTGGCAGCAGGGAGAAAAGGGAGAATCAAGAGCTCCAAGAATGCAAGGGTTTGGAAAAGCAGCAGGAATGTTAGTCTGAGAGAGCGGAAACAGGAAGGTTAGCATCAGGGCTCCACGGGGGGATGTGGGGCTAAAGCAAAGGTGCAGAATGTGGCCACAGGAGGGGGCTGTCAGGGCAGAGCAGAGGTGACAGGTTCCCTAGGGATCCTGAAATTACTGACCATGGTCAAAGGAGGGGTTTGAACAGGCAGAGGGCCTATCCAGGCCAGACACTAACACTGAGAGGCAGAGGTGTGACCAGAAGCAGGGCTGCCTGATGACCTCAGCTCTTTCCAACAGCGAAGAGCATCCAGTATGACCTGATATGAGAATACCTCCTCCCCGATGACCCACCTGCCTTGGACGGGGCTCAGCAGACCTATAGGCACCACCCCTCGGCAAGCCATGGGCCGAGCCTTCCTTTCTTCTGTCCTCACTGCTAAAGGTACAGGGTCAGAAAAGTGCTAAAAGACTAAAATTTTAGTCCCAACCTGCAAAGGAAATTACCAAACAAAATTTCTAAAAACTGGTCATTCCAAAGTCTTTGAAAATAATATTAAGAAACAAATAGCTATCATCCAGGGGAAATGTGTCAGTCTGGAGAAACATGAGAAATAAATAAAACAAGTCTGTTTTGTTCTACAGTCACCAAAAGCCTTGGCTAGGAACCAATGCAGGATATAAGTACAATGTACCAGATTAGCTGAGTAATAGCTGTAGTAACCATGTAGTCCAGATGTTCGTAGACAACATTAATTCTAAATATTTTGATCCCATTATCTCTAAAAATCCACATTTTAAAAATTCTAATACTGACATGCAAACTACACCCAGGGCTGCCTCTTATACCTGGAACCGGCACAAAAATGTTGTGCTATATTGCACGGCCCAATTTAATAGTTTGGATTATAAATTATGGATTCATCCCGTTTAGCATGTAGTTTAGTCACCCTATTCTTAGCTTCTAGTTCTGAACAAACACTATTATGCAGTGGAAGAAATACTGCATCTAAATCTCTTCCAGTCTCTCAATGCTGATCCAGTATTGCCACCAAGTTTTAAAAATGGGATAGACCAGAACTGGAGTACACATAAGACATTCCCTCCCCAAGCCATGTTCCAAATAGAGTGATGGGATCTGAGCAAAGCAAACAAAATCGCTGTGCACAACTTCCCTCTCCTGTACATGGGACAGATGTACTTTCTCCCTGAATAAATCAGCCATAGGATTCATCCCCGAGTTTAGTCTAGTCCTCATATAGCAACAACAAAACCCAGACAACATACACCCTTTTTTGAGATTCCTTACAAAACATATTCTCTACCACTAGTAAGAGGCTCACAGCCATCCTAAGAAGACTCTGAAAGGTTTTTTGGTAACTGTCTAAAAACAACTACTCGTAATAATCAGTTCTATACACAGTTGAAAATCAAACTATGGAAACAGAGTGTATCAGCCATATGTGGAGTAATACCTCAGGAGTCTTCTTACTCTGTCTCTTCCCAAAAACGCAGTCAAGATCTGTTCTGCTCCGAGATGATAGATCCTTCCCTAGAAGACAACACGGAGCCTTTTAGTCATACCCATCTTTCTAAAAGACAGAGCACAAACATAAGCTATGAAACTCCTGAAAGCAAAATGGGTTTTGAAAAAGAAACAATTCTGTAAACTACTGGTTTTCTGTTTCCCCTGCACAGGTGAAAATTGTTTAATTAACTAATAAAATTAAATTGTAAAATCACTTAAAAATCAAATAAATGTTTGAGACCCAGAACCATTGACATTCTCTTACTGGATGGTAGAAACAACCAAGAGTGCATGGACAGAGTGGAAAACTGAATACCAAAGCCAGCACCACTACTGACATGCCTTGGGGGTATAATTTCTGTGTCTCTGGGTCCCCATTCATAAAATAGGATCTTATTAGGCTACTTACACAGGGTCATGTAAGACTAGAAAATGCCGCTGGATACAGAGCTACAAAACCCCACCTATGCATGTGAATGAGAACACACTGCATTTGACAAACCGGAGCTCAATAATGAATTCAGTACATAAAAATTTGAAAGAATAAATGTAAATAAAAAGTATTGGATTGGGGTGAAAGAGTTTACTATATCAGCTTTAATAGGATACATAATAAAAGCAGGAAATTAAATGGCTTCTCACAAAAGCAGTGGCCAAAAGACGCATGGTTCTTATTAAAAACTCTACACTCTTTAACTTAATTTCAAACCGCAAACCAGGTAATTTAAAGTTCACTTTTTGGAATTTCCACTTCTACCAAAAATACTCTGTGAGCAGTTGACCAAATCTATTCCCATTTGTCAACTTCAGGGTAAATTCCTTTTAAAAATTTAACTACTACATGGGAAGTCTTGAGGCTCTGGGGGAGTAAGGCTCTGGGTTAGACCCAGGAATTTTTGTTTTGAGTTGGAAGCCGGAGTTCCACTATCACAGACTCACTTCTTGGTTTCCTGTAGCAAAACTGACTTAGCAAAGTAATGTCATGACCCAGAAAGTTCTAGTTCACTGACTATCACAGGGGCATTCAAATATGATATTGCTCAGTGACTCCATGAAATTAAAAAACAAAACACCTTTCGATTTCACAAAGCCAGGTGTCAAAACCAGTTTCATAGGCAGCAGTTTCAATGGTCAGTCAGTACGACCTGTTCCCAGCAGGAGGAACATGCTTCTCTGTGGTTCTATGCTGCTCTCTCCTTTCTTCCTGAGCTAGAAATGAAGGCTTCCTATTCTAATTGATTATTTAGTAGAACCCAGACAAAACACCCCAAAGGAAACCGACTTAAGAACAAAATGAAGCATATCCCAGGCAGGAACTCAGAAAATAAACCAGAAGAGTGCGGAATAAAATTGGTCGTGGTGGGGAGAAGTGGACAAACTCTCAGAAGGTCTAGAGATCTATTCTTATCTCTGTCATCAGCATAACCTATTTTGCACTGCAGAGCACATTCAGGGTGGCGGTTTCTATTTCAGAGAGAGGAGTTATACTTAGTTCAAAATATGTATTGGTCATCTATTCTAAACCATGTTCTGAAATGGGACAAGATCTCTTCTATAGCAATTCGACTGAAAGGAATGGTGGAGGGATTAAGGAAGAGAGAGTACATGCAAGATTACACTTTTAAAACAGGATGACAAAATATGACCCCACAGAGATCAAAAGTAAATCTCAAAATCAAAGGGAAAACTGCCAGGCTGGTAGAGATAGAGAGCTATACCAAGGAAGGTGCAAGTATTTCTACAGTGTTGGTGATGGATTCTTGTATCAGAAATTTTTATCCTTTAGTAAATTTCACTTAAGTAAATGTAGAAACCAGGATTGTTACAGGCCTTGCTCTGGATTTGATCTGGAAAACAAAACACAGAAAAGAATTAAGAGTCAGAGACTGAGGGAAAGAAATTCCAAGGTAGATACAAATGGAAGATGGAAACAATACTGAGATAGTTTTAGTGAATAGTCCTGGTTGAATAGTTTATAAGTGTTATAAAATTATGGCCACTTTTAAATAAAATATACACATTAAAAGAGGGTATGAAAGCTTATTGGTCTCAGTTCTCAATGATAGTCAAATCACAGCAAATACTGGTGATAAACTTAAAGAAAATGGCAATAAGAAAATTGAACAGACTAAGAAATATGTTATCTGTCTAGATTAGGTTCATGCATTTAATCTTCAATTGGCCATAACATTTCAAGAAGCAGGAAAAAAAATGCTTCCGGTAGTAAAGCTGATGTAACAAAGGTCCATGAAAGGATGAGCAGATAATAAAACACTGTACGATCATTTTCGCTGTTTTTCTAGCAATCATGAGTATCAGGTTTTCCAGTCTGTAAGAGCAGAAAACTGGAAGGGAGGACTGTTACAGCTATAGGCAGACACACGCACGCCACCAACAAGTCCACATGGGAAGCAAAGGACACTATGAAAAATACACATGAGAATTGAAGAATCACAGAGATTTGGGGACTTTCAGTTTAAGGGCAAAAGTCATACAGACAGAACTCAACAAGTTCTAAAGAGAAAACTGTATTATAGCACTATATTATAACTGAGGCTCAAAAACACTGAGTTCTTCTACGCAGAGTAAGGGGGCAGGACAAAAAAATGCAGGTTTGAGAATTATGTTCATTATAATAAAAAGTTAAAGCTTACGTAGATAGTGTCACTGCTTAGGAAATTCATTTGCATTCCCCAATCAAGAAGGATAAAACAAACAATATTATTTTTTTATTGTTAAAAAAATAAAACACATGGGACTGATAAGCCTAGCACAGAGGATTATGGTAACTTCACTGCAAGGGGAATGTCAGGAAACCAGGAAACAGGAAATAAACAGAGTAGAAGGTGCAATAATAATTAAGAGAGGCAAGAAATTTTAAAAGCCTGCAATGGTGCTGCTTAATCAGAAGAGGAAACTTAATGCCCAGCACCAGCAGGAGGCTGGTGGGGAGGAGGGGAGGAGGGGAGGAGGGGAGGAGAGGAGGAGAGGAGGAGGGGAGGAGTTAACCATGCTAGATACCCTACAGTCTGTGTTTCCAGACTAGCAAGTCAACCACCAGCATCTGTGTTGTGTGTGCAGCTTCCTTAAGAAGCAAAATTCTCCAAACTGTCACAGGAATAAGAAGTCTGAGTAAATTACTATGACGAAGTTGCACAACTATAGTCAAGCAAGTTTTTCATCCCCCCTTTGCACAAGGGGACGGGGGGAAGCAATGCTCCCAACAACTTCTCACTGTATATAGAAAATGGTTTTGTAGAAATTGATATTTTCCCTATTGTTCCTTCTCTGCAGATATGGCATTGCCAAACAATTTTCAAATTAAAAGAAATCACATCGGCCCAGCCAGTGTGGCTCAGTGGTTGAGCGTTGACCCATGCACCAAGAGGTCGCCGGTTCGATTCCCAGTCAGGGCACATGCCCAGGTGTGGGCCAGATCCCGGGTGGGGGGCATGCAGGAAGCCAGTCGATGTTCTCTCTCATCCATGTTTCTCTCTCTCACTCCCTTCCACTTCCACTCTCTCTAAAATCAATAAAGAAAAAAAAAACCCTTAACCAAAAAAAAAAAAAAAAAAAACCATGTTGAAGTTTGGCTTTTAAACAAATATGGATGAAATTAACTTTTTAAACTATCAAATAAATTATTTCAAATTAAAATTATAAACTCGGGACTAGAGAAAGAAAAAATAATGTATCAGAACTAAAATGATAGCCAATATTGAGGCAACAGCAAATTTTACAATGCTATTTGCTACTGTAATCTCACTAAAGTAAAATTGTTATCTTCACTCTTCACACTAAGCTATATAAAATACCATCTTTCCATGTTTTAATTTCCTGGACCACAGATAAACTTACAATATGAATCATCCTCATCCAGTAAGTAAATGAGTTACTTTCATTCTGAGCATACCCACAGGCTAAAATCTCTATTATCCGTAATGCTGAATAATCAAAAGTCCCATATAAATGGGGTCATTACTAATAAGTCATAAACAGAACCTTATTTTAGAACTCAATAACATCTTAAAAATCTTTCCTCACTTTCAAAAGAGGAAACGAAGTGTGAAAGAAGGAAAGTGATTAGTGATGTGTCTGAGAGTGACGGCCAGCGCCCAGGTTTCCTGCGCCCTGAGACAGCTACCTTAGGGGAAACAGAGTTTATCATTCATATCCAGCAACAACAGTGGCTCTACAAGAAAACATTTATTTTATACAACTAAAGAACTTTAAAATAATCTTTCCCTGTAGATTGTTAAGATGGGCAGTAAAGAATTATTTTCTTCACTACTTGGATTTCTGCCTCCTTCTCCTATCTTTCTACTTATCCCCAATCTACATTTCCTGTTTTCCCACTCGATCTCCTCGACTTTCTCACAATGTATCTGGAACTCTCTTCCCTGCATACCGAGCAAGGCTAATAAATAAGCACACCTCATTCTGAAAGAGAAAGAATGAAGGCACAGCACACCAAGCAGGTTGACAGGGTCACCTGGCAAGGGAGTGGCTTAACTAGAAATAGAAAGCAGATACTCCCGGCATCCATTAGATTAAAGCAGATTAAAGAGGTTTATCTTGGTTTCCGCAAATGCTTCAAAGGAACTCATGCATGTAGTCAGGTACTAAAAGAAAATGAGAAGATTTTATTTGCAAAAGTGAAAGCTTAAAAGAATGTCATACCATCCAAAAGCTGCTGGCCATTTTTAATGTCATTCATTTGCTCAGTACTTCTGCAATAGCTCTTTTTTTCTATAGAGTCTAATGCAGCAATTCTCAACCTGTGGGTCGTGACCCCTTTGGGGGTCAAACAACCCTTTCACAGGGGTCACCTAAGACATAACAGTAGCAAAATTATGGTTATGAAGTAGCAACAAAAATAATTTTATGGTTGGTGGTCACCACAACATGAGGAATTATATTAAAGGGTCATAGCATTAGGAAGGTTGAGAACCATGGGTCTAATGGGAAAAGGAGGGGCATCGAAGGGCTCTGGTGTGAAGTGACCATTTAACCTCTTCTCCAAAGGACTGAAGGGCCACCAGGAACTGTCTTCTGTTCTGCAGCAGGTCAGGGATAGAGAGAAACCCTGATCAGAAGCCATACAGAAAACCAACAAAGAAGGTTCTAGCCTGAGAGAAAGAGGGCCGCCACAAACAGCCATGCAAACCACACCTGCTGGGACAGGCAAGGGGAAGCATCCGTCTCTCCTTGCACGCATTCCCGAAGCTAGTCAGGCCCCCACTCCATTAAGCTCTGCCATGGGTTCTCCTTTACCCCAAATTCATTCCTACCTTTTGGGGTCCTGTGCCCCAAAGAGAACCACCATTAAAAGTGGTTTAAAATAGTGAGAATTTCAGCTCCCACTGGTATTCAGACAGGCTCTAGAAGTTAGGGAATTCTCAATCATGCCAACAAAACTAGAGCCAAGAGATGGACGTGTATATCTAAACTCCCATAGAAGATCCATCAGATGGTGACTACATATCACAACATAAATTATCATCACATTTATACGTAAGTATATTATGCAATACATAGGCTTCTGTGCTTGGAAAGTGCACTTAATGCAGACTACTGTTCTTTGGGAAAATGGTTGGAGAGTTGTTGAGTTAAATTGTTTCTTACTATACAAGACCACCACCTAGTGGCTACAGAGGACAACTGCACTCACAATTGACTACAAGGATTGGGAAGGGAGTGGAGAGGTGTGATGGAGGAAGATGAGGAAGATAGGATTTACCACCCAGTTCTCAAATTGTTTCTAACACGATCTTCGCATTGACCATGGAATGCCTAAGTTAACACTCCATGAAATGAAGAAGTGGTGTGGAATAATGTAAAGATCAACTGGGGAGTCAGACTTCTCATACTGGAGATCTCATTACAGAGCATAATTCTCTAAATTGAAAAATTCAACACCAACATTAAGCTCTGAAAAACAAGAAAATGTAACTAAAAATGTTGAGCAATTGGAATTATTTCCTGATCTAGACATTTAAAATCTCCTTTCTCCGCTAAATAGCAAGTTCACTTGGACTTTCAGCTCTGCCCCACCTCAGAGCGAATGAGATTCCCAGTAGACGAACAACAAATACGGAAACTGTAGCATTGCTTTAGATCCACCTAGTCAGGCCATCCTTAATTCTCCATTTTGAACATAAAACAAGATGTAATACTGGTGAGGAGTTAAAAATGTTTTAAGAGGCCTGAACAATGTGGCTCAGAGGTTAAGCAAGGACCCATGCCCCAAGAGGTCACCAGTTCAATTCCTGGTCAGGACACATGCCCGGGTTGTGGGCCAGATCCCCAGTGAAGGGCATGCAGGAGGTGGCCAATCGATGTTCTCTCTCATCGATGTTTCTATCTCTCTCTCCCTCTCCCTTGCTCTCTCTCTAAAATTCAATAAAGAAAAAAAAAAAAAACCCTGTAAGAAACCCAGTGTGAACACAGACGTAATCAACAACAAATAAAGAAATGCTTAATTTTACCTTTTGTGAATTTCTTATAATGCACACGGTTTTTGGAGATTTTGGACTTTTCTTCAAGGCTGAAAGATTTCTTTTCCTTGTTGTCTGAGGAGAAGTCTTAAAAAAAAATGAAAAGCATTACATTAAACACTCTGTAATCCATTCTCATTTATTCTCTTACAGTGACATGGTCTTATTTAAATAAAATCTTTGGGAACTCCATAATTTATTATTGAACTCTAAACAAGTGATTAAAATATTCTTCTTAACCTGTGTATTATGAATCAGGCAAAACTATTTTCCAGAAATTTATATAACCTTCGAGGAAGAGAAAGGAAAACTTGTGTTCACACAAAAACCTACATACCAATGTACATAATAGCCTAATTCCTAACAAATGGAAAGCAAAAAAAAGCTGGGGTAGCAATACTCATATCTGATAAAATAGATTTCAAAATAAGGCCATAACTAGAGACAAACAAGGCCACTACATAATATCGAAAGGATCTATCCAACAGGAAGATATAACCTTGATAAACATATATGCACCCAACATAGGAGCACCAAAATATATTAAAAATCTTCTAGAGGACTTCCAAGGAGAAATCGACAGCAATACAATCATAGCAGGGGACTTCAACACCCCGTTGACAGCACTGGATAGATCCTCTAGGCAAAAAATTAGCAAGGAAACAGAGACTCTAAATGAAGCACTAGACCAAATAGATTTAATAGATATCTACAGAGAATTACACCCCAAAACTACAGAATACACATTCTTTTCAAGTGCACATGGGACATTCTCAAAGATAGACCACATGATAGGACACAAACTAAATCTCTACAAGTTCAAGAAGACTGAAATCATATCAAGCATCTTCTCAGATCACAATGGCATGAAACTAGAAATCAACTGCAACAAGACCATGCAAAGACATTTCAACACATGGAGGCTAAATAGCATGTTATTAAACAATGAATGGGTCACCGAGGAGATCAAGGAAGAAATTAAAAACTTCTGGGAAACCAATGAAAACGAACACACAACAACACAAAATCTATGGGATGCAGCGAAAGCAGTTCTGAGAGGGAAGTTCATAGCACTACAGGCCTACCTCAAGAAACAAGAAAAATTTCTAATTGACTGTCTAACCTCACAACTTAAAGAATTAGAAAGCAAACAAAAAGAAAACCACAGAGCAAGTAGAAGGAAGGAAATAGTAAAGATCAGAGCAGAAATAAATGACATGGAGACCAAAAAAACAATTCAAAGGATCAATGAAACAAAGAGATGTTTTTTTCGAAAAGATAAACAAGATCGATGGACCCTTAGCTAAACTCATCAAGAAACAGAGAGAGAGAACCCAAATACACAAAATCAGAAATGAAAGAGGAGAAGTAACAACTGACATGACAGAAATACAGAAGATTGTTAACAGCTACTATGAACAACTATATGGCAACAAATTCGACAATCTAAGCGAAATGGACAAATTTATAGAAACACACAATCTCCCAAAACTGGACCGGGAAGAGGTAGAAAACTTGAACAGACCAATAACAATTAAGGAAATTGAAGAGGTAATCAAGACTCTCCCAGCAAACAAAAGCCCAGGCCCAGATGGCTTCACAGGGGAGTTTTACTGAACATTCAAAAAAGAAGTAACACCCATTCTCCTCAAACTATTTCAAAAAAATTCAAGAAGGAAGACTTTCAAACTCGTTCTATGAGGCCAGTATAATTCTAATTCCAAAACCAGAAAAAGACACTACAAAGAAAGAAAACTACAAGCCAATATCCCTGATGAACATAGACGCCAAAATCCTGAACAAAATATTAGCAAATCGGATCCAGCAATACATCAAAAAAATTATTCACCACGACCAAGTGGGATTCATTCCAGGGATGCAAGGCTGGTACAATATTCGCAAATCAATAAATGTGATACACCACATAAACAAAATGAAGAATAAAAACCACATGATCATATCAATAGATGCTGAAAAAGCATTCGACAAAATCCAGCATCCATTTCTGATAAAAACGCTCAGCAATGTGGGAATAGAGGGATCATATCTCGACATAATAAAGGCCATATATGAAAGACCTACAGCCAACATCATACTCAATGGACAGAAACTAAAAACATTTCCATTAAGAACAGGAACAAGACAGGGATGTCCACTTTTGCCACTCTTATTTAACATAGTACTGGAAGTCTTAGCCACAGCAATCAGGAGGAAAAAATAAAAGGGATCCAATTTGGAAAGGAGGAAGTGAAACTGTCATTATTTGCAGATGACAAGATATTATACACAGAAAACCCTAAAGACTCCATCAAAAATCTACTAGACTTAATAAATATATTTGGCAAAGTAGCAGGATACAAAATTAACGTCAAGAAATCGACGGCATTCTTGTACACCAATGATGAACTCACAGAGAGAGAAACTGAAAAAACAATCCCATTTACCATCACACCAAAAAAAATAAGATACCTAGGAATAAACTTAACCAAAGAAGTAAAGAAAATAAGATACCTAGGAATAAATTTAACCAAAGAAGTAAAGGACCTATTTGCAGAAAACTACAGGACATTGAAAAAAGAGATAGAGGAAGATATAAAAAAGTGGAAGCACATACCTTGTTCATGGATTGGAAGAATTAACATCATTAAAATGTCCATACTACCCAAAGCAATCTATAGATTCAATGCAATCCCCATCAAAATACCGACGACATATTTCACAGAACTAGAACAAATACTTCAAAAGTTCATATGGAACCAAAAAAGACCCTGAATAGCCACTGCAATCTTGAAAAAGAAGGACATAGTAGGCGGGATCACAATACCAGATATCAGATTATACTACAAAGCCACTGTAATCAAAACAGCCTGGTACTGGCACAAGAACAGGCATATAGACCAGTGGAACAGAACTGAAAACCCAGAAATGGACCCAAGGCAATATGCTCAATTAATATTTGACAAAGGTGGCAAGAGCATACAGTGGAGTAAAGACTGCCTCTTTAATAAATGGTGTTGGGAAAATTGGACAGCTACATGCAAAAAAATGAAACTAGACCATCAACTTACACCATACACAAAAATAAACTCAAAATAGATAAAAGACTTAAATGTGACCTGTGAATCCATAAAAATTCTAGAAGAAAATGTAGGCAAGCAAATTTCGGACATCATACGGAGCAGAATTTTCACTGATACATCACCTAAGGCAACAAAAAGAAAGGAAAAAATGAACACATGGGACTACATCAAACTAAAAAGCTTCTGCATAGCAAAAGAAACAATTATAAAAATGGAAAGGCAACCCACTGTATGGAAGAACATCATTGCCAATGATGTATCAGATAAGGGGTTAATTTCCAATATATATAGAGTGCTCATACAACTCCACAAAAGGAAGACAAAGAACCCAATTAAAAAATGGGCAGAGGAGCTGAATAGACACCTCTCCAAACAGGACATACAAATGGCCAAGAGACATATGAAGAAATGCTCAACATCACTAATCATCAGAGAGATGCAAATTAAAACAACAATGAGGTATCACCTCACACCTGTCAGAATGGCCGCCATCAACAAATCATCAAACAACAAGTGTTGGCGAGGGTGTGGAGAAAAGCGGACTCTAATACACTGCTGGTGGGAATGCAGACTGGTGCAGCCACTATGGAAAACACTATGGTGTTACCTCAAAAAATTAAAAATTGAACTTCCATTTGACCCAGTGATCCCGCTTCTAGGAATATACCCTAAGAAGCCTGAAACACCAATCAGGAAGAATATATGTACCCCCATGTTCATAGCTGCACTATTTACAATAGCTAAGATCTGGAAACAGCCCAAGTGTCCATCAGTAGACGAATGGATAAAAAAGCAGTGGTACATATACACAATGGAGTAAATAGCGGTAAGAAAGAAAGATCTCTTATCCTTTGAGATGACATGGAGGGACCTGGAAAGTATTATCCTAAGTGAAACAAGCCAAGCAGAAAAAGACAAATACCACATGATCTCACTTATATACGAAATATAATGAACATAACAGTCTGAGGAATATGGTAGACCCAGAAACATGGAAGTAGGGCACAGACTGACATCCCTCAGAAGAGGGGGTGGGGGGTGGGGTGGGAAGAGATAAACCACAGAACTTACATGCATGTATGCATGACCAATGGACATGGACAACTAAGCCGGGGACGGGGCAGGGGTGGGGTGGGGAGGGGGTGCCAATGGGATATAAAAGGAGAAATATCTGTAACAAAAAATAAATAAATAAAGAATTATTAAAAAAAAAATCAATAAAAACATTTCTAAAAAAAGTTTAAAAATAAAAATTTAAAGAATATACTGATTTTTCTGTCCCAAAGGAGATAAGGGTTATTTCTAGAATCTTTGCAAGATTCTATGAAGAGGACATTATGGAATCTCGGTTTAATTAAAAGGCAAATTGTATGAATTTGGTAAGCAACCTTAAAAAAGTAAAAATATTATTATAGCAAAAAATGTTATTGGGTTATACTGTTTCATCTGCTTTTCAGCTTTAATGCAGTAATTTCAGCTTTACTGTTACCAAAAATTCACTTGGGTAAAGATGCTGTATTTACCAAAGATGACATGGCAGAAAAATAACCTTTTAGCTCTTTCGCGGTCCAATCCTTGGACAAGTTTTCCCTTAAAGGAATATGCTAAAGGAATTTTCAGTACTGGAACTGGCAGGTGGCAAGGCCTGGTTCAGACTTGTACTGAGCTAGACAGGAAGCAGGCCACCAACTGCCGGGTCACTATCACAGGGCTACCAGCACCCTCTAGTGGTCTTGAAGTGGAACTTAATCTACAGATTGGTAGCTCACCCTCAGCCAATGACTCAAGACACTCCTATGTCTTATGCAGCAAACAAACAGCCTGAACAGATGAACCTGTGGGTGGGTCTGCCCAAGGACAAGGCACCACTGCTTGGAATCTGTCATGCAGATTCCTGACAAATAATAGAGTTTCTTGACTCATCTAGAACATTTCACTGACTGTACTTTGGTAATACATCAGAGATAAATCTCAGAAGCATGCTGAGAAAAATTAGCCAGATAGAATAGAAAACACAAACCTTTATTTCTATTCATTTCAACTGTGATCCTGAATACAAATATGTTTTTGTTTATAACTAGTTAAGGGCTTAATGTCTCTGAATTTTACTGCTGCATAAATCCTGCATTTCCTAATACTAGTCCAGTCAGTGTTTCACAAAACATTTTCCTTATATTTTTCTTTGGTTAACAAATTACCATCTTTTATATTAGGACCACACACAGGATAGTCCTAATAGTTATCCCATGGACAAGAAAAACTGTCCAAGTTCTAGATTTCAATAAGAAGTCCAATCCGATTAGCAGAAGTACAGAGTATCTTTCCCTTGATGCTTTTGGGCTCACTCCCACATAAAGCACTGCAATGAATCTTCGCATAGTTAGATTCATGCTGTAATTTTACCAATTACTAGCATATCCTGCTAGCTATTTCGCAAGCAAGGATTATGTCTCATATATCTGCATATCCTCAAGTCTAACTTCGTTCATATCCAGCACATAGTTCAATAAATGTTTGCTGAACTCAAGTCTAAATTTTTCACTTTATTCCACAAAGTTCTTTCTCCTTCAACTTAACACCTTTTGACTGTTCACTACATGCCAAACATTGTGCACAAGGAATAGAAAGAAATTCCTTATAGAAATGTTTGCAGAATACAACTCAAAGAACAAACAAAACCACCTAATTAAAAAATGGACAAAATACTTAAAAAGACATTTCTCCAAAGAAGACATCAAATGGCCAACAGCATATGAAAGGTGCTCAAGCTGATTAATCAATAGGGAAATGCAAATCAAGAGCATAATGAGGCTCCTGGTTGGTTTGGCTCAGAGGTTAGAGCATCGACCCTCAGATGAAAGAGTCACAGGCTCAATTCTGGTCAAGAGAATTACAAAGTACTTCAGTTGCAATTCGATCCCCGGCCCTGGTTGGAGTCATGTGGAAGACAGCCAATCGATGTGTCTCTCTCACATCGATGTTTCTCTCTTTCTTTCTTTCTCCCTCCCTCTCACCCTCTCACTCTATCTGAAAATCAGTGGAAGAAAATATCCTTGGGTGAGGATTAAAAAAAAAAAAGCATGAAGAGGTATCACCTCATACCCAGTAGGATGGCTATTACCAAAATAACAGAAAATAACAAGTGTTGGTGAATATGTGGAGAAATTGCAACCCTTGTGCACTGGTGATGAAAATGTAAAATGGTACAGCCACTATGGGATACATGGCAGTTCCCCAGAAACTTACAAATAGAACTATTGTATGATCCAGCAATTCCACTTCTAGGTATATACCCAAAAGAAGTAAAAACAGGAACTTGAAGAGACATAAACACACCCATGTTCATAGCATTATTCACAAGAGCCAAGAGGTAAGAAGAGATGCAACCCAAGTGTCCACCGATAGGTGAATGGCTAAACAGAATGGGGTATATACATAAAATGGAACATTATTCAACCTTTAAAAAAAAAGAAATTAGATACTACAACATGGAGGACATTATGTTAAGTGAAATAATCCAGACACAAAAGGACAAATACTGTGATTCCACTTACATGAGGTCCCTAAAGTAGTCTAATCCAGAGACAGAAAGTAGAATGATGGCTGCCAAGGGCTGGTGGGAGGGAGGACTGGGGAGTTAGTATTTAATGGGGACAGAGTTTCAGTTTTACAAGATGAAGAGTTCTATGGATGGATGGTAATAATGGTAGCATAACAATGTGAGCGTACTTAATGTCACTGAACTGTACACTTAAAAATGGTTAAGATGGTAAATTTTGTTATGTGTATTTTACAATTAAAAAATAATTGTCTGCAGAAGAATAGACTAGATTTCTTTAGTGAGTATCCCGCAGAATTAGCTGAAGTTATGCCCTTGCCTTCCAAACAGCCATGTGATAAAGAAAACGTCCCTTAAACTCTAAAATCATACCAAAGGCCCACAAGTTTGGCCCATCGGTGCCCTTCCCCCCAAGAGTACTATTTTTCTTTTAATTAAATATGGAAAATCCAACAACATTCAATTGTTTTATTTCTAGCCCCTACAGCTTGGGAATACGATTTCTAGTACTGAGCTTCTTGCAACAAATGTTACTATACCCCAGAAATCTGAATCTCTTACAAACATTAAGAGGTAAAACAATTTCATTAACTAGAATCAACCCAAAAAAGGCTTTTCTATTAAGCCTTTGTAGGCTACTAATTTATGGTCCCAACTGTTGTTTCTTGCTTTGTATTTTAAAAATGTTTTTAGACAGCCTGGCCTATGTGGCTCAGTGGTTGAGGGTTGACCCATATACCAAGAGGTTGCCAGTTCGATTCCTGGTCAGGGCACATGCCCAGGTTGTGGGCTCAATCCCCAGTGGGGGAAATGCAGGAGGCAGCCAACTGACATTCTCTCTCATCGATGTTTCTATCTCTCTCTTTCTCATCCCTTTCTCTCTAAAAAAAAAAAAAAAAAAAAATTCAATAAAAAAAAATTGAATAAAAATGTGTTTAGATACACTCAAGGATTGCTAGAAAGATCATTTAACTATTTGAGGTTGTAAACTGAATGAATTTATCTTGCCATTCTCAAAAATTTTTTTTTTTTTTTTTACACTTATCTTCAGATAGAGTGGGAGGGAGAGAGAGAGAGAAACATCAACGTGAGAGAGACACATTGACTGGCTGCCACCCACATAAGCCCAACCGGATCCAGGGACAAACTGCAAACGAGGTACGTGCCCTTAGCGGGAACTGAACCCGGGTCTCTCTGTTCCGTGGGCCAACGCTCTAACCGCTGAACCAAACCAGCCAGGACACCATTCTCAAATTCTTAAAACAGAAAAAAGTGTTTGCTTTCTTCATACAATGAAAAGGGTTCGTGCACTGAAACACTATTAAAATATAAACAGACAAGACTGTAGTAGTTTCAATAAATTAACTTCCAGATATGTGACGCTTACAGTAAAAATAGTTGGTAAAAATATTTTAAATTGAGAGATTATGTCTTCTACAAATCTAAAGGGTAACAAAGCAAAGATGTCTACCTGCTGTTTCCAGTCCATGGCAAGTGTTCAGTTCAGCCAGAAGCTGGTTAAAATCATCCTGATGAGCAATCCAGTTGTCCTGAAAAATACCAAAAACAAGCAATCAATTACAGGCCAATTTGAAGTCTACCTAAGCTGGTTGAGATAAGATATATTTTGAAATCAAGAAAATCTGGTGGTTAATGTGAAATTTTAAATGTTTCATCAAAATATTATTTTATAAATTTGAATGATATAATATACATTTGAAATGTAATTTATTTATTTTAGTATTAAAAATGGGCTTCTTGAAAGCTTTGGTCCTGATGTCAAATTTGGATAACTTATTAATAGTCAATTTAGTCAAATAATCAACAGGCAATCTGTGTGCTAAATATTAAAGGAAAGTAAAATTTTTTCTCAATAAGGGAAAATTATGTAAATCATAGAAAAAAAAGCAGTGATGAACTTGGGGACTCTCTCCATTGCTCATTTGAACTTCAAATATTTTATTTGCTGGCACAGACCCCAGTTTTACAAAATAACACTGGGGAAGGGAGGAGGAAGGACTCCAAGTTCCCTGAATCAAGCAGCACCCATTTGGTAAGGTGACAAGCTAATAAGTTCAGTATAACAAAGAGAATTTGATTTTAAGAGAGAATGAACATCTCCAAAGCAATCTAAACCAGTGGGAAGCAAGATATCAATATAGGAATTTACCTCATTTATACTATTTTAAGATTGCTTAAGGTTACAGCATATTAATAGGTTTACTGGGCAATGCTTCTCCTAAAAAATTAAGCACATCTGTATATCTATTTCTCAATAACTACCTTCAAAATCTACCTTACATAAACTCCTTTAGTCATTTAAATTTTTAGTTGTTAGTCCAGAAAATTTTAGCCGATCTACTCTGCTACTCAGTGCTGCTGAACTAATCAAAGTAAGTCAGCTTACTTAAAGACATTCTCGGATTTTCTACCAGATTCTGTTGGTTGTAAAAATTTAAGAACAAAGCTTTTGGCTTAGACACTTTCTAAAGCAAATAATAATACTGAAAATGAAAAGCATGATAGGATAGGCCATTACTTTTTAATTCCAGTGTCGTATTTTCAGTGTCAATGTTTAAGAGGAAATGTGAATAAATTTAACTGCTCTACACCAACAGACATACACAACAGTATAGGAAAAGAACACCACTTTCTTGCAGAAAAAATTTTTAATTTCTTTCTGAAACTGAATGTCAGCAACTTCTAATAATACAAGCTAATATTAGAACACAGGTAAAGAAAAAAATTATCTGTCCTGAAATGAGTATTTCTATAAAAAGAATACGTTTTGCAAAGTTTAGCAATAAAACTAGTTTGTATCTCTTACACATAAGCAAGTAAAGAACCCCATGAAGACAATAAGGCAAAGTGAGGACGGGACACAGGATGAAGAGCCAGCTCAGCTATGGGCCTTTTACTTAATCAAAACATGGAGTATAGCCCTGGCCGGTTTAGCTCAGCGGTTAGAGTGTCAGCCTGTGGTCCAGAGAGACGCGGGTTCAGTTTCCACTAAGAGCACGTACCTTGGTTGCTGTTTTGTCCCGGCCCTGGTTGGGTCCTGTGTGTGGCAACCACTCAATGTGTCCCTTTCACGTCAATGCCCCCCGCCCCCCCCACGCTATCTGAACAAAATATCGAAAAATGTCCTCAGGTGAGGATAAAAAAAAAACATGGAGTATGACACGCACTTGAATAGTTAAAAACTAATCAATCTGATTGGTTTAAAATTTATATATTTACAAAAAAAGTCAATTATGCAAGGAAAACCCCCAGAAGACACACTGTTGCTCACTTCATTATTGATCGTAGCTCCAAGTCCCAGGTGGTTATTTTTAACTTGAACTTTAATATGATCTGTGGCCCCTTGCTCTTGAGCCCCTAAACCCTGTGGAGATTAAACACAAAGACAGTTAGCTTTATATCAGGCATAAAGAGTGATGTCCCTATTTTCCCTCATCTACCATTCAATTAATTACTAAACATCTAGGAACAAGGCACCACCTATGTTCTCAAAGAGAATATAGTCTAACGGATTCTTATAAGATATGTCTGTATTATGAAAAGTAAACTTACAATAATGAATACTGGTTCTTCAACCTGAGACCTAACTGAAGGCCCATATACACACTATGGAGAACACGCCTTTTCCTAATGCTCTGAATCAGAGTTCTGCCACAAAACTATGAAAAGCCCACTGGAGGTCTTATGAGCCTATGGCTCTGCTCATTAAATAGTTTTAGAAAACCATACCGAGAAAGGGGGAAAGGGACTTCAGGTACCCTACATCAATTAACATTCATCTGTAAGGTATCCCACAGAGCTCGGTGTACTGCAGAACTAAAAGGTACCCTCAGAGTGACTTCAGCAGAGTGAATGAAGAGGAAATAAGATGATATAAAGGGCTAGACCTCACAGGACCTTGGAAATTATGGTAGAAATTTGGATCTTATTTTTTAAAACAATGGGAAACCACTGAACTTTTACACAAAGGAATAACACGATCTAACCTCTGTATTTAAAAGCTCATTCTGGCTGTTGTGCACCAAATGGCCTCAGGAGGAAAAGAAGGGAGGCAGGGAAGCAGGACAGAGGTTGTTAGGGTGATCAGAGCAGCGGTGGTGGTGGCTGGACCAGAATGATGTCCTGGAGAGAGGAATAACGACTGAGGACGCAGAAAGTGAGAGATGCAGGAACAAGCATTACTCCCAGGTTTCTGGCTTGAGTAAGCAGGTAGACAGGGTACCATTTTCAAAAATGGGGAAACTTGAGACGAAACAGATCTGGGGGATCAAGTTTTATAATAAAAATGATAAACTCGAGATGCCTACTCAAGCGGAAATGTCAAGCAGGCTGATTAATTTATCAATCTGGAGCTCAGAGGACAGATCTGGACTAGACAGAGAAAAGCAACTGAATTAGATAATCTCACCATTTAGATCATTCAAGCATGGTATGGCATAAATGACTTCACCTGAGCAGAGTACAGCAAAGGGCCTGGGGCTCCAAAGCTCAGTAGTCTGGAGGAAGAAGAGCCAGCAACAAACCTAGGAGTGGCTGGTGAGGTGAGGAAAAAAACAAGAGAAAGAAGTATTGTGGAAGTCAAGACAAAAGTACTTCAAGAAGGAAGTAGTCAATTATGTCCAATGGTGCTAAGGGATTCATTAACGTGAGGACAAAGAAGGGTCCACTGGATTTGGCAACAAGATCACTAAAGACCTTGACAAGAACCATGTAAGTATAAAGAGATCAGAAGTCCTATTTGAGTCAGGAATAACTAGAATGTGAGGAAAAGTAGAGAATGTGTAGTCTAGCTATGAAGGGGAATAAAATATTACTCTTAACAACATAAATCTGATGGTTAAGTACGATTCCAACCAACTAATTAAAAGGCACTGTCTATGAAAGATGCTAATTATGCAGCTTACTTTTTGTTTTTAGGGAGCAAGAGATAGAAACATTGACCGGCTGCCTCCTGCACATCCCTTACTGGGGATTGAGCCCACAACCTGGGCATGTGCCCTGACCAGGAATCAAACTGGGAACTCACAGTCCATGGACGATGCTCAGTCCACTGAGCCACACCAGCTGGGCTAATCATGCAGTTTAAATGATAAAGAGAGACAGTTGACATTTATGTTCAAGTCTAACTTGATCATCACAAGGTCACTACACTTCAGTTATTTCCCCAAAATCACTTCTTGATCCAAAACATAAATTTTTCTCAGTCTCCTAAGAAAGATACATTCTTCTGACTTGCAGTCTCTTTGTATGGCTCTGATTTTTTTTTCTCTTCTCCAAAATACCTTTCCTTTAGACCACCCCATCTTCTCCAGCATCCTCTGGCCAAACTTGGAATCATCATTACTCCACGTGGTATTTCTTGGATCCACAGCCCATTTCTGCTTCCGCCGACCTGCAAATAACAAATTATCTCCTTAGCAACTTATCTTTCAAACCTGGAAAACACCATACAAATACACACATACCTAATACATACACACATACTTGCATAAAATATGACCTACATTACATTTTATTAGACACAGATACCAGATTGAATAATTTACCCTGGTTTCCTCAATAACTATATATTCTCAACATACAAACTGACCTTTTAAGACAAAAATAAAGATATTCTCTCCAAAGATGACAAATCGAAATCCCTAGATATAGCATCAGCTGGGCCTTCCACAGCCAGCTAAAGGTAGCAACTCATGAACACACCTGTCAGCGCCATCAGCAGCATCACATCAGCAGAGGCAGGTGCAGCAGGCAGTAGAGCTTTTGTTGCCATATATTATGTGCCAAATGCCAGACACATATTATTAGATTCAATTTTCACAATAACCCAGTGAAGACAGATATTCTTTTCTTTTTTAATTGATTTTTACAAAGAGAGGAAGGGAGAGGGAGAGAGAGATAGAAACATCAGTGAGAGAGAACATTGATTCGCCGTCTCCTGTATGCCCCCCCACAACTTGGGACCACAACTTGGGCAAGTGCCCTGACCACGAATCGAACCAGCGACCTCTGGGTGCATGCGTCAATGTTCTACCACAGAGCCACACCGGCTGGGCTGAGGATAGATATTCTTATTTCCACTTTTCAGGTGAGAAAATCTGAGGCTTAGAGATAGAAATGTGCCTAATGTCCCCAAGCAAAATCCAGAGCCTTTATACAAACAAAGCTTACACTGACATCAAAGCTTATATTCTTAGTCCACAATATACAATAGTCATTATGATCCTGGAGAGTCAGCTGTGTCCTCCACACATGTGATCTCCAGATACTTACGATACCTTTCCTTCTCACTGAAATGCCCTCAAGTCTTATGACTCCTTCTATAAATTTCCAGAATCTGCTTCTTTTTTTGGCATTTAATTAACATTTTTCTGTGTTATACCTATTTATATCCATCCATCTCTTAAGTTTGCTGTTAGACCATAATCCCCTATGACTCAAATTTGTGTCTTATTCTTCCTTCTGAGTCATTGCGGTAGTAAAAAACACTACCTATAGTAGGCACTCAATAATCATGTGAATGCACAAATGAAGGAGAAAAAAGAAAGAGGGAAAGAAGAAAGGAGACCTGGAATGGGAAAGGAAGATAGGAATATAACTAAATTAAGGGACTGCTTTGAGTTTCTTCAAAGTATTTTTTTAAAATACATATAAATAACTGACCACTGGAAACTCAAACTTCTCATTGTAGTTTTAAGAAAACTTGTGGCAGAGATATAAAACCTCAAACGTTCACAGAACAAAAATATGAAACCCAAAAGTAAACCGTGGCCACGTGAGAAATTTGGAGGTCAAGGATCATTATCATTCACCTACTCCACCAGTTGAAGCCCAGTATCTCACTATCAACAGCAACACCATGCTTTGGCAGTCTTATAACCTGCAGTCAGAGAGGCTCACTGTAATGCATGAGAAGTCAACACAGAGACCCATAACAGTACACACCCTGGCAAAAATAAGTAAACTTTTTACAAGCATGCAAAGAAAGGCTACTTAGAAAGCAAAACAAGTTGGGCTCAAATTTATAGTGTTTCCCAGGAAAACGGAGACCCCAAAATGCTACATGTGACTAAGTTATCACTTTATTTATCCTAGTAAATACTCAGTATAATGTTGCCTCTACTAATGAACAACATACCAGAGACAAGCCTTGTTAACCAGCGTTCTCTCTGTTGAGTTCATATTTCTACACACAGTACTTGGCAGAAGTCTCTGACTATGGCTTATATGAAGGAAACAATGTTTTTGTTTTTGTTTCGTTAATCCTCACCCGAGGATATTTTTCCACTGATTTTCAGATAGAGTGGGAGGGAGGCAAAAAGAGAGAGAGAGAGAGAGAAACATTGACGTGAGAGAGATTGGTTGCCTTCTGCACAACCCCAACCAGGGCCAGGGATCGAACTGCAACTGAGGTGTGTGCCCATGACCAGAATTGAATCCACGACTCTTTGGTCTGTGGGCCGACGCTCTAACCACTAAGCCAAACCAGCCAGGGTGAAGGAGACAGTTTTGAGAATGACTGAGCCCACACTCTGCAATAAGAACTGCATACAGTTTATGTACATACATATATGTTTACAGCAGACCATAATGCTCACACACGAGACTGGATGGCTACGGAGGCCAATTCTCTTCACCAAGGAAATGGCAGGTAACCTCAACAATAGGGTAGAGTAGTGTTTTCCAAATGAGGATGTTAAAAAGCAGGGAGGGGTTTCCCACTAAATTTAAGAAGCATGACAGAGTTAAACAACATTTTTTAAAAATATGTTTTTATTGATATTTTTGAGAAAGAGAGGAAAGGAGAGAAAGATAAACATCGATATGAGAAAGAAACATCAATCGGCTGCTTCCTGCATGCCCCCTGCTAGGGATTGAGCCTGCAACCTGGGCACGTGCCCTGACCAGGAATCGAACTGGGACGTTTCAGTCCATGGGATGATGATGCTCAGTCCACTTAGCTACACTGGCCAGGCAAAATTTAATAGTGTTCCATACTAGAGACTTTCTCAGACTTTTACTGTGCAAATGTGTAGGTCCCCTTAGAGGAGGCAGAGCAACCATGTCATGTTTCCCAAACTTATTGAACAGAACTCTACTTCCCTGAAACACTTTCTGGGTCTAGTGTTGTACACGTTTCCAGGTTTGGGAAATCTTGGCAAGGAAAAGACTATCTCTGGTCTGTTCAGAGTGGATCCACTTTTATATGTGCTTTGTTATTCTTATTCCACAGCCTATTCTCTGCTTCAATGACAGTTTTATTAATACCTATGTGCAGAAAAGAGTTAACCTAGCAGGCCTGACTGCTAGCTAACCTTCCAAAGTCTTGCCTACAAGGCTGGTCCTTGGCTGGGAAGGTTTCAGGAAGTTTCCTACCATTCTCAGAAATGATAAAAGTAGCTCACTATGCTTAACTGTTTACACAAACAATGTGGTTTATGTCGATTACCTGCTTTCCTTCCAGGAGGCTGGAATTTTGGTACATGCCAAACAGAAGTTGCCTATGTGATCACAGCCCCCGATAAAAACCCCGGGCACGTAGTCTCTTAAATCAGATGGATTTAACTGATATTTTCAGAGCATTCCACCCCAAAGCAGCAGAATATACATTCTTTTCAAGTGCACATGGAACATTTTCTAGAATACACCACATATTAGGACACAAAACAAGGCTCAATAAATTTAAGATTAAAATTGTATCAAGCATCTTCTCCAACCACAATGAAACTAGAAATCAATAACAAGAAAAAAAACTAAACAACACACAAACACTTGGAGGCTAAACAACATGTTACTAAACAATGAATGAGCCAACAATGACATCAAGGAAGAAATCAAAAGTTACCTCGAGACAAATAAAAATGAACACAACTTAAAACCTTTGGGATGCAGAGAAAGCAGTGCAAAGAGGAAAACTCAAAGCAATGCAGGCCTACTTCAAGAAGCAAGATAAATCTCAGATAAACAATCTAACTTTACACCTAAAGGAACTAGAAAAAGGACAACAAACAGCCCAAAGTGAGCACAAGGAAGGAAATAAAAGATTAGAGTTCAAATAAATGGCATAGAGACTAAAAAACAATACAAAAGATCAATAAAACCAAGAGCTGATTCTTTGAAAAGATAAATAAGATTGACAAACCTTTAACCAGACTACTCAAGAAAAAAGAGAGAGAACCCAAATAAAATCAGAAATGAAAGAGAATTAACAACTGACACCAAAGAAATTCAAAGGATTGTAACAAAATATTATGAACAACTATATGCCAACAAATTGGACAACATGGACAAAAGGGATAAATTCCTGGAAACATATAATCTTCCAAAAGTGAATCTCAAAGAATTAGAAAATCTGAATAGACTGATTACAAATAATGAGATGGAAACAGTAATAAAAACGACTCTCACCCTGGCCAGTTTGGCTCAGTGGTTGGAGTGTCGGCCCATTGACCAGAGAGTCCTGGGTTCAGTTCCCACTAACGTACCTCAGTTGTGGTTTGTCCCCAGCCCATGTTGGGGTTGTATGGGTGGCAACCACTTGATGTGTCTCTTTCACATAGATGTCCCCCACCCCCCCATCTGAAGATAAATGCAAAAATGTCCTCAGGTGAGGGAAAAAAAAACAAAACCCTCAACAAACAAAAGTCCTGGATTGGACAGCTTCACAGGTGAACTTTACCAAACATTCAAATAAGAAATTACACCTATCCTTCTCAACTATCCCAAGAAATTCAAGAAAAGGGAAGACTCCCAAGCTCATTTTATAAGGCCAGCTTTATCCTAATTCCAAAACCAGATAAAGACACTACAAAGAAAGGAAAGTATAGGCCAATATCCCTGATGAACATAGGTCCAAAAATCCTCAACAAAATATTAGCTAGCCAGATCCAGCAAGACATTAAAAAAATCATACACCATGATCAAGTGGGATTTATTCTGAGGATACAAGGTTGGTGCAATATCCACAAATCAATAAATGTGATACACCACATAAACAAAAGAAGGATAAAAATCACATGATCATATCGATAGATGCAGAAAAAGTATTTGACAAAATCTAGCACCCATTTATAATAAAAAATCTCAGTAAAGTGGGTATAGAGGGAACATAACTCAACATAATAAAGACCATATACAACAAAGCCACCAACAATATCATATTCAACCGGCAAAACTAAAAGCATTTCCCTTAAGATGAGGAATAAGACAGGGATGTCCGCTTTCAACCACTCTTACTCAACATAATACTGGAAATCCTAGCCACAACTATCAGACAAGAAGAAGAAATAAAAGGCATCCGAATTGGAAAGGAAAAGGTGAAACTGACATTATTTGCAGATTACATGATACTGTATAGAGCGAACACTAAAGACTCTACCAAAAAATTAGGAGAACTGATAAAGGAATTCAGTAAAGCCGCAGGATACAAAATAAATATCCAGATATCAATTGCATTTTTATATGCCAATAAGGAACTATCAGAAAGGGAAACTAAGGAAACAATACCATTCACAATTGCATAAAAAAATGCCTAGGAGCCCTGGCTGGTCTGGTTCAGCAGTAAGAATATCACCCGTGGACCAAAGAGTCTCGAGTTTGATTCCAGCCAAGGGCACGTACCTCAGTTTCACTTTGTCCCTGGCTCGGGTTGGGGTTGTGTGGGTGGCAACCAATCAATGTGTCTCCCTCACATCGATGTTTTTCTCTCTCTCTCTCTCCCCCCTTCTCCTCCTCCTCCTCCCGCTTTGTCTGAAGATTAATGTAAAAATATCCTCGAGTGAGGATTTAAAAAAAAAAAAATGCCTAGGGATAAATTTTAA